CAAAATTTTGACGGTCGAATGGCCCTCGCCCCGGCAGTGCCACATAGGCACCATGCAATCAAGATACCGTCTCATGGTCAAAGTTGACTTTAAAAAGTCAAAGTTAGCTTTAAAAAGTCAAAGTTAGCTTAAAATAGCAATTCTAGTGCCATATGGGCGCCACATAGTCAATGTTGGCCAAAAAGCCTAGGTAGGCAAGTCAAAATTGGTCAAAACTGATCAAATTAGTTGTAATTGGTCAACGTTGCTCAAAATTGAGCTAATTAGTGAGAGTCCTCATTCATAGTGAAAAGTCACAAAATTAGCCTATTTTGCCTCTGTCCTCATCACCCTGGTGAGAATACATCAAAATTAGCCTATTTTGTCACTATCCTCATCACACAAGCCAATTTTAGCCTATTTTGGAGGTGTCCTCATCACCCTGTTGAAAGCATGAAAATATAAGCCTATATAGGAGGTGTCCTCATCGGCTTGATGAGGACACAACAAAAATGACTAAAAATTAGGAGAGAGAGGACCCTAGTTGTGGCCACCTTGCCCCTCATTAATTGTCTTTGATTATTTCCACTCCATTCTTCTGTAAGTAGCCCCATAACATTTCATCCAACATCCATTCTCTCTCTACAAGCCTTTGTAATGCCTATATAGCTCTAAGAGAGTCCCTCTCCAAAACCCCACTCTCTCTAGCCATGTAGAGAAAAACATTAGCCAAACACTCCATTTCTTGCATGCATTTCACTTGCCCATCAAGGTACTAGATCTCTTCTTTCTAGAATTGGTTTAGTCCTTAGGCGACGTTACATTCACAAGCATTATGAAAGGTAATGTAAGTAACTGTACTTGGTACGGGTGTCTTGGGGTGCCTAACACCTAATCCAAGTGAAAGCCAACTCCCAAACCCATCGATTTGATTCACGTCGACCAATGGAGAGTCGTACTAGTGCCCACACTATATTTCATTCAATTTTTGCTCATTGGAGCTCCCTTAGGTGACCTAGCACACCAAAACTCGATGTTAGATAGCGACTCCAAACACATTGGTCCTATCCATCCATATACCACATTAACACCTTCCACCTCTGTCACATTTAGGTTCATGATTTTCCTCCAGCTAGCTACTTACTCCATGTGGGGGAACGGCACCCGCGGGTCTGGGCAGAAAAACACGGACGAGACAAAAAGGTTAGTGATGGACTAACTTAAAAATGGCAGTTAGCCAATGTTACAGGGGTGGCTGAATATAATTTGAGGTCTTAGGCCAAAAATATGAACGTGGCCTTTATGATGTAATTTATTAAAAGACCACAATCTCACACATATCCTTTTCTTTTTTTTAAGTCAATAAGGCCTATTTGGTATGCAGGAATGGAATGGGTATTCCATTCCAACCATTCGCTTGTTTGGAATGACGTTTATAATGGGAATAACCATTCCCTTAGAATGAAAATCCATTCCACATCTAAATCGATGGAATGAAAATTTTGGCCACCGCCACCGCCTTTCACCACAACCACCGCCACTGCCTTTCATCACAACCACCGCCTTCCGCCCCCACCACCGCCGCTGCCACCATCCTTCACCACTGCCACCACCGCCGCCACCACCTTCCACCATCACCACTTTCACCACTACTATTGTCACTGCTGTCGTTGCCATCGCTTCCACCACCACCGTCTTTCATTGCTGCCACCACACCACCGCTACCGCCTTCCACCGCCACCACGGTCATCACCACCTTTTGCCACTGCCACCACCTCCTTCTGCCACCTCACTGCCTTCCATTGTCACCACCACTTTCCACCACCACTATCGCCTTCCATCACTTCAACCGCCATCGCGTTCCACCACCACCACTTAAAATGGTGATTATCATTTCATATTTGCTAACAAACAATAGAATGAGAATGACTATTCCATTCCATTCACAGGTTAATTCTATTCCCATTCCATTTCATTCCCGTATACTAAACTAGGTGTAATATCTTTTTCTTTCACCATTGTATATTCTTCTAATTTTTTTTTAGATGATTTGGTTGTTCATTTGTTGAATTTTAACCTAATTTTTTTGATATGTTTTGATTATTAGTTCTAACAAATTTATCAAGAGCTCCCTTTTGAAATTGAATTAGTTTATCTATTCTCCACTTGTTTTAAAGTTTTTCATATCCTGATTCATACTTTTTATTGAAGCAAAAATCTACATGATCCGGAGCCGGTGACGATTCCTGCAAGACGAGAGAAGTGATGACTGGCGTGGTGCTGGCCAGGTGCACTCCGATGGTCAAGTTAGTACTTGATGATTGAATGTCCGATAAAGGATTAAATATGGGATTTATCGCCTCCCTTTTTAGGTTGACTGATGACCTCTTTTAAACTTGTCCATTACGGATTTAAGAGTCATTGGAGAGGGTAATAGTTGTTATTTCTATCTCCTTAAGTTTATCCATGCCCTTTGAGTCTCCATGTCACTTGGAATTCTTATCTAGTCGAATATTCCGTATCAGTAGCCCCCCATTCCCGAAATCTTGCTTGTTAAGCGTCGGGAATGCCAAGTCCTTCCAAGCTAAGCATGCTTGATGATTACTTTCTTGCCCCTTTTAATATGGGAGTGGATTTGCTCAAGCTTTGTGAGCTCACCCTTTAATAAGGGAGTAGTTAATCCCTCGTCTCTCTAGTAAATGAAGAAAGCTTTAATTATCTCACCCTTCTGTGTAGAGGGAGTTGTCTGATTCTAGTAAACCTTTAATAAGGTGTAGTCGGCCTCTCGTCCCTTTAATAAGGGAAGTAGATTAATACGAGTTTCACTCAGCTCGTCTCTTTAATAAGGTAAGTAGATTAATACGAGCTTCACTCAGCTCACCTTTTAACAAGGGAAGTAGATTACTATGAGCTTCACCCAACTCGCCCTTTAACAAGGGAAGTAGATTACAATCACATCACTCTCTCTTGAGAGTACTCAATCAATTTATATGGTTTGACTGAATGAGTGTCTTGTTGGAGTTTTCTTGTACGCTCATTATGGTGTGGGGAACCCTATATTCGGTGTCAACCATAATTTCTTTGGAATTAGTACATCGTTTCCCATAGATGCCGCCAACTGTTGAAGCAAAAATCTGCACGCTCTGGAGCCGGTGACGATTCCTGCAAGACAAGAGAGAAGTGATGACCGGCGTGGTGCCGGCCAGGTGCACTCCGATGGTCAAGTTAGTATTTGACGATTGAATATCCGATAAAGAATTAAATATGGGATTTATCGCCTCCCTTTTTAGGTTGACTGATGACCTCTTTTATAGAAGCATTAACGGTAGTAGTCTTCTATCACAAAACAAATTTACTTTCCTTATCCATTACGGATTTAAGAGTCATTGGAGAGGGTAATAGTTGTTATTTCTATCTCCTTAAGTTTATCTATGCCCTTTGAGTCTCCATGTCACTTGGAATTCTTATCTAGTCGAATATTCCGTATCAGTAGGCATACTCAATAATATAAATAAAACTGGACACAAAATAATTTAAGTTAAAGAACAATAGAATCTGATGGTCCAATGGTCTAACAGATTATTCAATCCTTTTATTGCTATTTTGTAATTTCCAATAAACTTATGACACCCAAGTAAAAAATATTGTAATGGGTGGAGAAGGAAAAAAATGTTGTGAAAAGAATGTTGTAATGAGAGAGGAGGGAGACGGAGAACCTGTAATGAGATTCAAAGTGGATGATAAAAATAAAAAAAAAACGTTGTAGTGAGAACTTGAGGAGTAAGAGAACAAAAATAAATATTAATATGAGAAGATGGAAAGCTTTACCATTTCCCACAATTATGGGTTAAATATATAATTAATACTGCTCGGGTAACTACAGAGGAGTAAAAAAAAAACATGATACGAGGAGAGAAGGAAAAAAAAAAAGAGGTGGGATAAGGAAAGAAATAAGGAGTTTTAATAGAAAGTGGAATGAAAAGTTTTAAAATTAAAGGAATTCTTTGGGCCTAGTCTACTATTGATTGGGGTCTAATAATATAAGGAAATATATATTTTTTATTGGGCTCTAGTAATATAAGGAAATATTTTATTTAGAAAATCTATGTAAGGAAATTAAATCTTAGGGGCCTAAGGCGACCCGCCTAAGGCTTGAGCCGGCCCCGCCTCCCTTTTTTTTTTTTTTGGGGGGGGGGGGGTTGTGGTGGTGTTGGTGGACTAGTTACAACCCTAGTTTTAGTGTTATTTACATGTTTCCCTTAGATTCTAACTTGCATCCTTGTACCCATTGCACTGAACCACAATTGCACCTTAACAGACTCACTTTGTGGTGTCTTGAAAAATGCGTATAATTTACTTGAATGAATACTATATGTTAGCACGACTATTATTCCGTAATACTCTAGTTGAATCATAATCAAAGACCAAGTCAATCTCAAGTTTTTCACTCTCCATATATATTCCGCTTCCACTCTGTAATGGAAATGGAGCTCTAATTTCCATGTTTCGCTCAGTTAGCTCTTGTGTCTTAGGTGAAGGCAAGGATGATGATGATGATGAACTCTTGTGACTTACGTCAAGGTTCTCCTGTGTTTTAAACATCCTGATCTATTGTTGCAGTTCAATGATATTGCTTTATATTTGTGGGAACTAAAATTAAATGCTGGAAACCAGATTACCTATTAGCAGTTATAGCATGTGTCATTGATGACCTTTTGACCAATAAATATCTATCCTAGAAACCATGTGGACAATTAAAAGAACATCGAAACCATGTGGACATGGTTAGATTTAATTTTTATTTAATCATCCATTTTTTATTAGTTATTTTCATCCATTATTCTTTCAATTAAATTTTCCAATATCTTCATGTTTTTAATGACCTAAAGACATCTGAATTATGGCACTATAACCTTTTTTACCCTTTTGGGTCACTTTCGTCTTATGTAGACCTGTTTCTATCTAGACATTTGATTTACTGGATCTTCCTTTTCCTTCTGGCACCAATGTGATCCTTTCAGTTGCTCTCGGGCTTTGAATTCGACAAAGAATGATTTTTCTCGATTGCGAAGAGATTTGGAGACCATTGTTCAGGTACTATACAGTGGTGAACCAGTAATGCTGCACATTTATTATTCCTTTACAGTCTCGTAATAATCTGGAACTTAAAAGGTTGTATTCCTTTTTGGTATTAATAGTGAATTAGTATAAAAGCTTCATTCGTGGGTCACAATAAAGGATGCTATTCAATATATTGTCCTGGCAAGTTCCCTTGATAAAATTATCTAATCTAATGATCAGACCCTTTTCTTTTGTTACTTTGCACCTCTAGAATGATGGTGAAAGAATGATTATCATCATAGATTTAGTGTTATACATAGGTCAGATTGATCTGGACTTCTGTACTTTGCTTCATTGGTTCATTTGTTTATTTGTAAAATGGTATCATTTGTAGACCATCCTCTCTCTCTCTCTCTCTCTCTCTCTCTCTCTCTCTCTCTTGGTTCAAAAAGTTGTAGGCCATTCTCTTTTAGAACTAGTATCTGCTAATCTACATAAACTCGAACACAATTATTACCTTCAACTGCAGAAACTGACAATTAAACTTGTGCCTGACAAACAAACACAACCTCCAAAAAAGAGAGAAAATCAAGAAGAAATTGTAAAATGTTTATAGCCATTAGCTAGCATGAAACTTGGAGTATACCAATTGAAACATGTTAAAGTCTCCCACTTGTGAACCTTTTGTGCACTAACATATAGTAGCTTGGTTGATGCAAAACCAAAAGAGAGAGGAAGAAGAAAATAAGAAGAATCGGGAAGAAGCAGCAAAATAGGGAGGTGATTACTATATGCAATATTCAATAATCAATTCATCAAAAAAGGAAAAGCCAATGTATTAAACCCTATATGTCATTGTCATCATCATCCTAGCCTTAATCCCATGTGAATGGTGCTGTCCACAAAAATTCTCCTTTTCAACTCTTTTATATTACAAGCTATCTCATCCATAATATTTAACTTTTAAAAATCATTTTTAATAATTTCATCCATCGTCCTCTTTGTCTCTTACCTTTAAAGAAAACTAATCTACCTCTTCTTACTTGTGCATCTATATAGGTATTCGTTGTATGGGTCCATACCATCTGAATTTACTTTCTCTTATTTTTCCCTGATGGATGGCACTTCTAAGCAATGCTAATATATGGCTTAAATTGGATTAAGTTATTGAAATTATAAATTACCACACCGCACGAGCAAGAAATTGGAATACAATGGAAGTGAATATACAAAAATTATTGCACAGGGTGTGGGCATTTAGGTGCAAAAATAATGTGTTGTATGGTGATTGCAAAAAGAAGAATATAGTAGAAAATGGAAAAAATAAGGGAGCAACTGGGCAAATAATCAATAATGGAGGTTGGTTGAAATAGGACTCTTTGCATCTGTTCCTTACCAAAGTGCCGTATAGTTTCTCGATTAAAAGAATGCTCCAAAAGTGGCTTGGGAAGTTGAAGAACTTTTTTCTCTGGTTCATTGGCTAACGAGCTGAGCTGGACTTGTTGCTGAACTGATCTAGTTCTGGCCTGGCTTCGTATTGGGTTGGCGGTAAATTGGCTCCAAAGGTGGTTGGACTGTATTTTCTGAATTGGACCCGGGTCAAATCTAGGTTGCAGTCTGGTGAATTCTGTGTCAAATTTGGAAAAATACTCAAATCATTGCAACGAGATTGATGACCCTTGATAATGTTGTGCAATTCAAATTGTGGTGATGACAACGGCTGACAATGTGCAATAACAAAGCTGAGGTGTCACGCCCCGAATCCCAAGGGCCCGATTTGCAATGAAAAAAAGGATAAAAGAAACGAAAGAATAAAAAAAAAAAAAACAAGAAAAGAAAATCAAATCTTAATTATCAACACCCTCAAATCTAGCATATGAACGCATACAAATGTCATCTTACAAGGATCAAGCGTTGCCACAATCATCACCCATCAAATGCATCATAAAACAGCCTCTAAACCACTCTTCAGCACAGTTGGACCGGTCCATAAATGTTGGACCGGTCCAACTGGACCTGTTCCACATTCCAGCACAAACAACACCCTGTTAGACCAGTCCAGGATTGTTGGACTGGTCCAACCTGACTAGTCTTGAAAATCCTGCATCTCTCAATCCCCATTCTCCCTCCCAACTCAAGGTCTAAGCCACAACTCATATGGGACATATACAAAATCCTCTAAAACGATCACTTATGATTCAAATGCAATTAATAGCATGGCAAATTCTTCATTTACATTTAAATTTCAAATACACATGAAATGAAGCAAGGAGTACAAGTTTAAACTAGATGGAGCCAAGGGGTAGAAATTACATGAGAACACCCAATTTAACATGTTTTGTTTAAGATTCATTTACCCATGCTCTCATCTAATTCTCCCCTCCTTTACAAAATCAAAAGACACAAATATCCACTTACAACAAAAATAAATCAAAAGCTTCCAAAACAAGCTCCAAGTCCAAAGTGAGTCTAGGCACCACCCGAATCATGCTCCTTAATTGCAAAATGGTGCGGTGAGCAAATTGCCCAGTAGATGGCATGGTAATTAATGTAATCAATAGTCCAACAAGTCATGCAAGCATGACATATTCCATATGGCAGGTTAAGTACTACAAGTCGTGCTCCCTACTTCTAGTTCGAATATCAAAGCCATAATACTTCAATTCATAATATTTATTTCAAGACATGGATTCCCAACATAATCAACAATAAGTACACACAAATATCATTTTCAATTCAGTAACCTTCAAGTTGAAAATCACATCTCCAATTCACAACTTGCACATAGCAATCACATTTCAAATCATACAAATCCAGGATTGATCGTAAAACCAAACCGAATGCAGGCCTAAAAGCCACGCACCCCTGCACTCGCTGTACGGGCTACTAACCCGACGGTAATGACACCCGCTTGTCCAGTTTTGGGACACAACCCTAAGGCTCTTCTTATTTTCCCGATCTAATCCTGAAAATCATCATCCAATCAACCAAGTTCCAATTTCCACATAACAATCATTTCCAAGCAATGAATCAACAATTCATAGCATGTTTTTAACCAAAAAGAATCATCATGCAATACATCTATTATATTCAATATCTATCTCATGAAATGATTCAACGCTACATCACCAAAACTCATTTTCAATGTAAAATTCCTCACTTGAACATTTTATCTAGCACGTAGTAGATATATTTATCCTCATGTCAACAATTTGCATATAAAAGCATATAAATGACATTTTATACATTTCTAGCATCTCTAAAGCATGCTAAGATCCAAATAAACACATAAACACAACTTATAAACCATGGGATAAATAAATTAACACACCCCTACCTCAAATGTTCAAACCCCCAAATCCCAAATGCTCCAGATCGGATATTTGAATCGGTGAAAACGTAGAGAAAAGAGAGAAGAGCAAACTTCCCTTCTTGAGCTTCCCCAAAATCCCACTTCTAATGCCTCAAAATCTAGAGAGAAGGTGGAGAAGAAATATGGGTGGAAGACAAATGAAAAGAACGAAAGAGGAGAGAAAAGGGTGTTTTTCCTTATTCCTGATAAGACAATTAATAAAGAGCCCATCATTATTACTAACCATGAACCATTTATGATAACACAATTTTCTCAATTTATATTTTTCAGATATGAACACCCATCATATACATATAAATTACTTGAGTTGAGTGGGTACCTCGATCCAACACCGAATCGACCAATACACATCGTTCACCAATTACATATAAATCATCTTATAAACCACAAATTCATACATGAGACAAAAAAAATGTCGTTTAACAATATTTTAAATTTGCTATGCTAGGGCATACAAAACCAACACCTTGTGCACCGGGCTAGCCCTTTATCTAAACACACTAAATAACTAATAAATAAAAAGAGTTCAAGATGAAAAGGTATTTCTTTCTAACAACAACTTGAGTACCAGTATAGTATTCCTTTATCATTAAAAACAATTCTCACCTATATTAATTGGATTTGGGGTTGAATCATGCATACCGCTATTACTCGTGGTAGTTTTGAACTCAAAGAAAGTTCGTAGCTTCAAAGTCTGAGAAAGTTACACCCTGCATCCACGTTTTTGTGATTGGGATCACGATTTAGAAGCTCTTTCTTTTCAATTATGCTTTATTACTGCAAATTGGTTTAGAACATAATTCAACATCATTAAATTTCTCAACAAATAAGCACAAGTCTTATGCTAAGGATTTAAATTACTTCGTGGTGGACATTATGGTCTCAGTTGTAATGTGCTGATGTAGGGTCTAATGGATGTCATGTAGCGAGCTCATAAATTGAAGCCCTGATTTTTTCTCACATACGTTAAATAATAGTGACCCGTGATTTCACCCCATAATTCCCTAAATTTGGGTGTGAGATATTTTTAGTGAATATGTTCAATTTTCCAACATGAGTTAATATGGATAATGAATCGTACATTTGGTTTAAGTCACTATCATGAGTAAGTACTTTTGTTTCTCTTTTCAATCTTTTACTTCTTAAGAATAATCAACTTATTACTTATTGTTCAACTCTCACTATCACCTTGTTATTCAAATTGGAACATGTGTTGGACCAAAAAGAATGCAACACTTTTGTGGGGGGGTTGGTGGGCGGCATGTTAGAGGATTTAAAAATTAAAGTACACCCTCTTTAATAGCTTAAGAGGGTGTTTAACATGGTATCAGAGTAGGCAAGGTCCTGTTTTTAAACCTCACCGTCACTTTGTTAATTAAAATTGGAACACGTGTAGGGCTGAAAAGAAGGCCACACATGAGGGGGCATGTTAGAGGATTTAAATAATAAAGTTACACCCTCTCTAACAACTTAAGCTTTTAGGAGTGATTTATGGGATTGATTTTAAAAATCCTCCATCAATTTATTTTTTCATATTTATCACTTGTATTTTTTCACCTAATTAAGATAGAATATAATAAAAGTGATGTAGCCCTTTGGGCTTGTGTGCCGTGGTTGTAGGCAGTAGTGGCCAAACCACGTATATCCTTGTGTTGTTTTATTCTTAATTTCTCTCGTCAATCTTTTATTTATTTATTTTTATCAACACTTGTGTTTATATAATAACTTTTATATACCTTATGGTTCATTATTAAGTTAGTATTTGGGTTGAAACATATTGTAAAACGGAATTTACTTCAACAAGTATCCATGGTATAGGTGTGACTCTTTTTCACTACCCATTCCATCTCTTTAAAGTCCACTACCCCCTTCCCCTCCCCCACCACCACGGTTGAGTTTGATAAATTTTCAATATTTCTTCGAGTCTTCCTACTTCCTCTGAACTTCTACCCACTTCAGCGCTAGGTCTCTCTGCCTTTTAGGTCAGAACAGTAGAAAGCTAGAAGAGAAGAGGGCAGGTTTTCTTTGTGACTAGGATGACTCAGCCTTAAAAATTTTCCAAGCTAGAACAACAAAAGCCAGAAGAGAACAAGGATGGTTTCCTTGGTGATTGGGATGACTCAGCAATTACAGTATAATTGGGAACCCATGTATCAAATGTCATTTATTGTAGATTCTAATATGCTTAACAAATATTATGTTTTGCTTTTGAACGCTCTTTGATACATTATTTACTTAACGAAAAAAAATAAAAATATGCGTAACGAATATCAAAACTGACCTATATGTTTCTCAATGGGAATTGTCTCAAACCCTATGATTCTAATCCGATCCCAACCACTTATACTTCATTCTGTGTTCCTTTTTTCTTTATTTGTATGACCTGAAAATTTATTTTCCAATTGGCTTTTGGCCATTAATACCTTTAGATTTGTTTTCCCTTTCTGATTGTATTTATTTATTATTATTATTATTTTTATGGGGAATTCTGAGATGCAGATGGAGAGGAAGATTATTGACCTCGAGAATGGGAATGAGACAAGGCTTTTATCCTTTAGTAGGTCCACCTGAACTCCTCAGCTGAAGCTGATCAGGTTAAATGCCTTTTTTTTTGGATGGCGCGCTGTAGTCTCTTGTTTGAAAAAGGACAATGTGTTGGATCAGTCTTGTGATATTTATCACTGTGTGTACATTTTTGTGTGTTGTTTAGGTAAGGAACTTAGTGAGAGAGTGCACATTAAATGGTGTTACTTCCATATCTGATAAATTGTATTGTGATGGTTTGGAGTATCTGCATCTGGTTGTTTCATATTTCTTGATTGCCTGGAAGTTAGTAACTTATCAAGCTCTAAGTTTAAAAGGTTAGTTTCACTATTTCACATGAATTCTTTGATAAAGATGCTGGACTGGCCTAGATATTGTTATAGTTGGGGTCAATGGTGGACAATAAAAACAGGGAAAATGTTTGGTTAATTTTTTTGTAAACTGAACTCATTGATTTGAGTCCCCTTTTGGATGGCGTCACAAGTTATTTGCAAAAGGATCTCAATTTGGTCTCCTAAAACGTGTCTTCTATTCTACCATGTTTGCCTCAAATTCTCCTCGATTTAATAAAAATAATGGGAAGTAAGTACACACACACGCGTATCAATGAATGCATTAATTCAAGCATTTGTTGCGCTATCTAGCTGTAGGAGTAGGATACTTATTTGTTCCTGCAGTGAATCTATATTTTTGAATGACATGGTTCTTTAGATCTTACTTCTGCGTCTGTGAGAGAAAAAACCACTCCTTGCTTAGAAATTGGAGCTTCATAAATTATTTGATTTTAAAAATTTTGATCTCTGTTTATAATAATATCTTTACATATGTCCCACATGAACTTGGAGTAAAGCTTCTGGTTTTGTTACAACCTATTTTTTGTGAGTTCCTTCCTTCTAATCTATGATAAATATCATTACACAGGTTGGATTTCAACGCTACAGTTTGTTGACAAATAAGATTTACGTTGATATTAAGGGTGCTTACTAAGTTTTATGGGTTTGTTCAATGCTGTTATTATCAGTTGCAAGATCATTGAGGATTTAACTCAAGAAACTCTTGCCTCGGAAAATTTCATAACTGATTCGCTAGCTACCACACCTCACTTCTTTGATACTCAGAACAGCCTGTAACCGAGATGAGAAACTGGGATTCTTTTATTTGGTTGGGCATAGTTAGCTTAGAAAGACTAACATGTACACACACACATACGGGTGATATATATATGTATATATGTATAGGAATATATATATATATATATATATATAGAGAGAGAGAGAGAGAGAGAGAGAGAGAGAGAGAGAGGGGGGGGGGGGGATTAGAATGATATAATTTATTGGAATAACAATAAAAAACATTAATGGAACTCCATTATGAGTTTAAGAATTTGTAATAATTGCTAGATTGACATATTTGTTTTGTATTCTGACTTTAACCGTCTGGTCAAACTATCTTATGCCCCTTTAATGGGTACTCGTGCCACTACCACAAGGTAGCAATGTAGGAAAAGTTGTTGACACTATCATAAATTGTTGTAAAGCAAAAAATGGAAGCGAAGAGATAAATGAAACAAGTAGAACACACATATAGTACGTGGTTCGGCCACTAGAGCCTACATCTATGGCACAAAGAGCCCAAAGGGCTACATCACTTTTATAAAACTCTCTCAATTCATATACTATACAATGGTGGAGGCTCTTTTATATAGGAGAAGAAATTATGAGAATGGAAAGAATTAGAGAATAGGAAACAAGGCGGATTTTTCTCCACTGATTCCTCTAGTAATACCAAATCTTCAATAGTAGGAAACAACATCAATTATTGAAAGATTTTCCTTTATTGATTCCTCCATTAAAAGTTCAATACTCCCCCTCAAGTTGGAGTATGAATGCCCAACTTTCCATTGAGATGACGAGTAACGACAAGTGTGAATGATGAAGAGAGAAGAGAGAAGACAAAGAACAATGCTACCGAACACACCAACAACCCAAACAAGTCAACAAAAATCTGCTGGAGACACGGCAAAGGCGATGACAATGCAACCGAACACACTGGAAGCCCAAACAAGTTGATAAAATTGCCGGAGACACGATAAAGACGAAGACAATGCTACCGAACACACCGGCAACCCAAACAAGTCAATAAAAATTGCCGGAGACACGGCAATGGCGAAGAACATTACTGCCGAACAAACTGGCAGCCCAAACAAGTCACAAATTAGCAACATTTCAGATGCTAAGGGAATACCCCAAAATAGGTGTCTGAACCTAGGAAGAGAAATTAGGCTCTGATACCATGTTGCAAAGCATAAAACGGAAGCGAAAAGATAAATGAAACAAGTAGAACACACATATATTACTTGGTTCGGCCACTAGGGCCTACATCCACGGCACAAAGAGCCCAAAGGGCTACATCACTTTTATAATACTCTCTCAATTCATATACAATACAATGATGGAGGCCCCTTTATATAGGAGAAGAAATTATGAGAATAGAAAGAATTAGAAAATAGGAAACAAGAAGAATTTTTCTCCACTAATTCCTCTAGTAACACCAAATCTTCAATATAAATATATAGTAAGAAGTAAGAAGATGATATTCTAGCTTGGACCAATTTTTTGTAATAATTGGTGAATGTTGTTTACTAATAACATAGTGCTATTGGACACTTCTAAAGAAAATTTAGCAATAAGAAAGGTGGAGAAACGTGTTGGATCGAAAGGTTTAAGAGTTGGTTGGATTAAAACTGAATATGTGGAATGTAAATTTAGTAAATAATCAGATATTAATGATGTAATGATGACATATCAAAACCAAGAATTATCTAAGGTGACCATTTTCGATGTTTAAGGCTATTTGAAATTCAGTACTAACCTTCAACAATTTAAAGATCTGCATTATTCATTTGAAAAGTATTCGATCATAACTTGGGAAAGTTTCAAATTTTGTACATTTGGTTTTTTAAAAGGGGCATTTATTTTGGTGCATCCCAAAAAGGTAAGAGGGACAATTATTTTGTGGTAAATGGAGAAATAAATAGTAGCCTAAAACACATTAATTGCAAAATGATTTCTGCTTATTTAAAATATGTTTCTATAAATGCTAGAATAATTAAATGTATTTTAATGCAACTTAGTTAATGCCTTTTACAGTGTAATAGACACTAACTACTTATCACATTGCACAATAAAAGATTGGTGAAAAACATGTTGATAACTTACTAGCCATTGATTTGAAGGGGAGTGATTATAAATATACTTTTTTGTTGAGATATTGCAATATGCGACAAAAAACTACATATAATCAGTCTGCACATGTACATTCCATTAATCATCTTCTATGGATTAACTTATTTAACTAGATTAAAGTTTTATTTTGATTTTGTTTCAGCTTTTGGGGTTCGTTCTAATAAACATACTCATTTTAATTCAAATCTGAGTTTACAAAAGTGTGCTGGTAGAAGATAGAGTCCAGCGTGAACTTGTTTTTATCATTGTAATTGTTAACAACCATCTACTCTAAAAGCTTAAGCTATTAGAGAGGGAGTAACTTTAATATTTAAATCCTTCAACTCACCCCCACATGTGGCCTTTTTTGGTCCAACACGTGTTTCAATTTTAATTATGAGGGTGACGGTGAGGTTTGAACATAGGACCTTGCCTGCTATGATACCATGTTAACAACCATATACTCTGAAAGCTTAAGCTATTAGAGAGGATCTAACTTTAATATTTAAATCCTTCAACAGTAATCTTTTCTAACTTTACGGTTCTAGATCATCTTTATAGGAACCCTTAGTTTGTATTCAGATAAGAGGCTTAAATTGGTAAACTGATTTTATGATAGAAGAACATCATAGAATGAAAAAGTAAAGAATAACTATAACAATTACATGCTTGTTAATAAGCCAAACAGATTTAACATGCCTTCTTGCATTAAACCTTCTTTCGTTCTTTTGTGTAGGAGGTCTGTATTGAAAAATTTTGGGTTTCTTTCAAATTTATTTTATGTTTTCTTATAATTTGACATTTTCTGTGCAGGTACCTGCAAAATCTATGCAGTTGGTGTACGTTAGAATATAGGTCCAACCTCTGTGCATGCAAAGTCATCAGAAAGGTAGGTGCAGTGTTATGTAGTTAACTAACAATGCATGCTGTTCACTTGAGACACCTTGTGGTTGGCTAGAAATTAATGGAACTTTTTTGAAGGGGCAAGTTTTGGTCTCCTTAGTGAGAATTATTGTCCTTTGTGACAAATTTTTTGCCTGAAGACTTGTGACAAAACCCAAATAATTGAGAAGAATTTAAAAGAAACTTAGTTGTACTGATCTTTTTCGCTTTTATTTTTGTTGAAGTAACAGTTTTTTTGGTGAGTTTATAAATCTTTGGTGAAAAATGAAGTGGCTTGAATAAAAATATTAAGGATGGTTTTTCTCTAATCTTTTTTGTTAATTTTTAAATAATTGCATTAATAGTTATTCAATTAGCAATCATCGTTTTGAAGTTGCACAAGTGTCTATGATAGCTGGTACAAAGATTGACTGTCTAAAGGTGACATTAGAGTCATACTCAATATCTACAAGTTGTTTCATGTGAGTCTTTGACCTGATTTTTTTCTATGTTTTGAGGAGAGTCATTTAATACATTAAAATTTGGAAAATGAGAGAATCCTGAGTGCTTTTATTCTCAACTATTAATTAGGCAAACAATTTTGCAAGCACTTACTTCCATTAATGTCATCTGAATAATTCAACTTGTGCTCATGATCTGGAACTTGGAACTATGGGTTCAAAACTTTGTATCTATAATCAAAAGTAGAAGATTTGTATGAATTCTTGGTGCTTTGGTTCAAATTTCGGAATGACTAAGAAATAATTTTGATTATTCATTCTCATAAACTTAAACAGTGGAACTTAATCCAACTGATCATAAAGATTAAAACATGACCTTTAAAACAAGGTGATGCCAAATAAAGAGAAAGGAGAGGAAATGATCTTCAAAATTGAGATTGTTAGAAGGCACAAAAGTCAAATTCTAGGAAAGTTCCGTACAGTTGTACAAGCAACATAAATCTATGAAGAACTCTCTCTGAAGGCCCTAATTCTTCTTGACTAGATTTTATTTTAAAGAATAATAGGAAGTACATTGCTTCTCTGGTAACCATTTCAAGAAAGTAAGTAATAAAGTTAAAATGAAGAAGTAGTAGCAGAAGTCTTGATATACTGGTAGCAAATTAAAGGAATTAATTGATTAACAAAAAAGGTTATCTGATAAGAAATTTTTAAATTTGAGTGGGACCTACAAAGAACCTGATTTTATAGTGGGCCTATGTCATTAATTAGCACTTATGAGGCAATGAGAACGACAAAAACTGAAAGAATGAGACTCTACAAGTCAGTGATTGAATTTATTCTCCGTCTGTTTACGTGTATGGCCGAGGTTGAGAATTGTGAAAACCTTATCGTCATTTGAAGCAGATATCTATAAAAATTGACATACTTGTATAGGAGCTTAATTTGTTAATGGAATATAGGCAGGAGACCAATTGCCTAGCTGACGGAGTGTAAAAATCATCAGAATTGGTGATGGACAAGTTGAATGCACGTACAACCAGGTACGAGTTCTTGTGTAGCTGTTGCAGTTATGACAGTGTGATATGTTAAAAGCTTAGGCTATTATGTGTTTTCACCTAGCCTTGGTGATTGGAATTTCCTCAATGGACTAACACCGACTCTATTATGTGTTTTCACCTAGCCTTGTGACCTTTTTACCTCTCTACTCTCTCCTAGTCAAGTGCTTCAGTTAATGAAAAAATAACATATATAAACGAGTTTTTCCTTAATCAAATTTAATATTTATGGTGTTGTGGCTTCTTGTTTATTCACCTACCAAAAAAGTCTTTTTGTTCGTTCCTTTTCAGTAGGGTGGAGGGAATAATAACTTTACAGTAAATAACACCTGCAATTTGACACATGGGAGGTGGTGAGGAGAAGGATGTGAAGGAAAGTGCAACCAAGTAAAATGCCACGGATGAAGCTTTGTTAGACGAACTTGGAGAACCAAAAAGAAAAGCCATTACCTAGGGCCAGTCCCCATTAATGGAAGTGTTGTGGGTTGGATTGGGTGCAGACCTCACTTTTGACATTTGCACGAAATGTGATTTGAGAAGGTGGGATCATTTTATTTACCATTTGGGAATAACATGTTGATAATTTTTCCAGAGAATGGTCTTCATTTTATAAGACTTAAAGGGGAGCCTTGTATTCACAATCATTACCATGTTTCATGTACTAAACAGTGTAAAGTGTGTATCCACAGAAACTTTTTTATTTATTTATTTTTATTTATTTATATTTTTTTGCTGTTGTCACTTTAGGTATCTGAGTGCAAACTTCAGTATCTCTATCTATCAATTGAGCTTTACTTGTGTTAAATTTGTTGTTCCAGGTCCAATGCAGGTAGGAGATCAAGACGCTAACCGTGGCCAAGAACTGTTTGTTGTTCCAGATCCAATGCAGGAAGGAGCTTAGTGCGTGCTTTGTAAAGAGAGGCGTGAACGGGGCTCTCCCAGAACTGGTTGAAGGAGATCAAGTAATGCCAAACCTATTTCAAAAATGTATCTTTTAACCATCCAAGCTTTCCAAATGAGACGAGTAAAAAATTTCGATTGAAATACTTATATTGGGGATAACATAAGCTGTGTACCAGTCAAGATCATTGAGTGCAATGTAAGTTCATGATTTTATTTTCATGCATACATGTATATTAATAAACTGAAGAACTTCATATTCAAAAGTACAAAGAGCAAGACTGTGACTAGTTAAGTCACGATTTCTAATTATTTGATTCTTTTGTCATGTAGAGTCAAAGGAATTCTTAATGATATCAGGGATGGGTTGAATTCTTCTGACTGTTCCTGAAGTTCGCTTTGTGGTTTATTTATTTATTTTTATCCCGGCAAACTAGGGGGAGGGGGGTGACCAGAACACGGGCACATTTGCTCAGGTACATTTGCTGGGGAGCTGGGCGCTCTGCTAGCTAGGCCACCGGGTAATGCCCATTTACTTTCTCATATGCAAGAGAAGATAATTTAACAATTCAATTTTTGCAAGGTGGTTACAGTTCTTATAATAAATGTTTTGCTCCATCCCTCCTGTTTTCCATTTTGAGTTGTATTATACTAGTAATTATTCACTCTTCTCTTTAAATATTTAAAATTTCAACTTTCTTTGATTGCCTTTAGATTTTTTAAAATATTTTCAAATCAATAAATTAATAAACATAAATGTTCTATTAGGTTAGTTTTGTAATTTTCAGACGAATAATGCATCCCTTTAAAATGGTAATGCTTTTAGAGGCCAGCACTTATGGGACACAGCAAATATGTTAGTTTTTGCACGGGAAATAATAGTGCGAGTTAATGGCTTACCTTTGTCCAAGTCTTAAAATTTTTTCTTACCTTTGTCCAAGTCTTAAAATTTTTTACTCTAGGTCAAGATTTGGAGATTGTTAAAGAAAGAAGAACGAGAAACAAAATAATAGTAGGACAATACTTAATTTCTCATCAGTGATGATTTACTGACTATTGATATAGACCAATAATAAATAAACATGTATTTTAATGAACTTTACAAAGTTTGGATGATGAAAATAATAAAAAATAGAGGTTGTAGTTAATGTAATGTCTATGTGTGTGTTTAATATTGATCTATTCTGCCGATTGTATTTAAAATTGAAATTATAGAATTGGCATATTTTGAATTGGAATTGAAATTATAGAACTGCCATATATTTTGAAGTGTAATTGTAGTTTGCAAATCTGAAATTTTTTTTTTCCCCTCCACGTAAAAGTTTCCTGATAACCAGGGCGGAGCTAGGATTTTATTTCAGAGAGGGGGTATAATGCACTTGTTAAAAAAAAATTTTTTTTTTTAATAAATATGACAATATAAATTTTTTAAATAAAAAAGGCAAATAAGAAAAAAATAATTGTAAAATAATATGTTAAATAAATACCGTAAAAAAATATAGTTACAAATATAAGAATCAAAATATTAATTAATAATATTTTAATTAAATATAATCACAAATGTCATCGATAAAAAGAAATAAGTTTTAAAAAATAGAAAAATACATAATTATACATAAGTGAAAAAAGCAATTTTTTGAAAAAGGAAACAAAAATTAGAAAAGGAAAAATATGTTGTATACTTGAAGAAGGGATATATATAATTTTTTTTTAATAAAAAAAGAAATTAAAGAATTTGAAAATTTGAGGGGGCACTATTTAGAATTACCATGTAAGTATATATATATACCAAAAATATATACCTATGTATAATAGATTAGAACAAAGTGAGGGGGGCACGTGCCCCCTTTAGGCCTTAATTGGCTCCGCCCTTGGCGGCAACTAAGATGAAGTCCAATGGGCTCGAGGAACCCATTTTCTGCAAGCCCAAACCCATTTTCCACAAGCCAAGCTGCCAAGGCACTCCAACGGGCTCGAAGAAATGTGGGCCCATTTTGTAGGCTCGCGGACCGGATTGGGAAATTTGGTGATCCGAATAGCGATCACGAGACTATTTTGTGGGCCGGGCTCTTTTTTTTTTTTAATTATAAAAAGTCCAGTTTTTTCAAAATTGGGCAACAGTCTTAAGGGTGTGTTTGCCCCAGACCGTTGCCCAAAAACAGTTTTTTGTGCGTTTGTTTTGGTCTGCACTTTACTGAAAATAAATAGCCGTTAGGCACCGTTTGTCTGAGCCTAATAGTGAACGACTTAAATGAGCCAAACAGGCTTTTATGTCCAAAAAAACCCCCCAAAAAAAAAAAAATGTTTTATTTCAATTTTTTTTTTCTTTTTTTCTTTTCTGCAAGCCAAAAAATTAGTTTTTGAATAATTTTTTTTTAAAAAAAAAAGTTGTAAAAAATTTATTATTTTTGAAGGACAAAAACATACCATTTGATAGCCAAAATTTGAAATCTTCAAAACGTGATTTTTGAAAATACTGATGTGGCTGTTAGAAAAAGCTTCCGTGACAAATTTAGAGAGTTAGTGTCCATCGAAAATGCTCTAAATAAACTCTTGCGGATTCTCACGTCTGTCCACATATTCCCATGTGCACGTCAAAGTGCTTTTTATCCTGTCTAATTCAAATCCAAATTGTTGTAATCAGATGTCTCCGGAAAACTTTAAAAATTAAAAACACAATCACCTAATAATAATAATAATAATGAGCATGTGTAAATAATAAAATCTGAAAAGAAGAAAACGAGTTAGAAGTAGCTTTCATGGACAGCTTCCCAACACAAAGAAGAAACACTTCACGTGCGTGGGGTATGCTTCCCGCGTCAAAACACACACAGGCGGCAGCGGCAACTCCATCACGCAACGCCCATTCTCCAGCCCCTCCGCGCTCCATGCTTTCGTTTTTGTCACATTATTCACCATCATTTGTTCACACCTTGTCCGCATCTGATACCCCCAACACTGGCTTTCACTATATATACGGTATTATAAACAAGTCCTACTTTTATATTATAGAACAATCAACGTTGTTCCATTATGAAATTTTATTTTATTTTTTTATTTTTGTTTATTTATTTTTTTCCAGCTAGATAATGTTAAGAATAAATTCATAATTTATTATATTGATGGTAAAAAATTAAGATAAAATTTAAATTATTTAAATTATTATATTTAGTCATATCTAATATTTAAAACTTTTATAGTAATTCACTTTTTTTTTTTCTCTCCTCCGCCCATTTTTGGACGGATTAAAATTTATAAAGAATGAAGGATGTGACATCCTCCTATTATCATTTTTTTCTTTGTATTGTCTCTATCGAATAAAAGAAAATTTGTTCCTTTTTTTTTTTTATTTTCTTTTGACACCTCTTCCTTCTTTCCTACCGAACAAAACATTTGACTTCTTAATTTATTCAGTTTGATCACATAAAACTTATTTTAGAATACATGTATATATCAAAATCATGGATCCAGTGTTGTGTTTTGTTTTGTTTTTTGTTTTTTGTTTTGGGCTAAACAAACAAACCAAGTCAAAATAAATAATGACACAAGCTTACAAATTGGATTAAGCTCATGCCATGTAACTCAAGTTGAAGATAAAGTGATAGTATGTGACATGATGATTCAGGCTCAAACTTAAGACTTTTAACTGTACCTAAGCAAAAATTTCTACCTATCGTTTTTACGGTCCTTTAAGAAAAACGGCTTGCCCCAAACATTCAAATGGTTAAAAAAAAAAAAATGGCAAAGAAATTATTTAGGACTCGTTTGGCACGGTGTTTCTTAGTCTTTTGGGTGTTTTGGTTTCGTATTTTGAGCCCATATCACATTTGAGATGGGCGGTATTGAACAGAACCAAAAATGATATGAAAATTTAGGCAATTCCCATATCACCGAATTGGTGATACTGGGTGTTATGGACACTGTAACAGCCATATCAAGGCCCAAACTAAAAACATACTTAAACCAAATTATTGTAGCGGACATATCATGTATAAAAACATCGTTGTAAACCCCAGGGCTCATTTCTGCCTCCCGTTTCTCTCTCTTCGTCTTTGCGCATGTAAGGCAACTAAGGTGATTCCGTTGAAACCCCATTGTGTGCTCTCGATTGTGTTCCAGATTGATAAATCACTGACCTGCAACGTTTTTCTCTACAATCTCCGTTGATGTTTCCTCTCGACTGTTTCTGTTCTGTGACCTCTATGAGGCGATTCAAAGTATATTTCACCGAAACCTTAGTTCGTGGTTGCTAGAGGGAGAATCTCACATTTTCGTATATTTTTCTCTGATTTCTCAGTTTCATTAATCACGCGAGACAAAGGCAAAAGCTTCTGAACCACACGGTATATGTGTCCGTATATATGATTTGTGTGTGTGTGTGTGTTGTGTTTTTGTCTCTGCAATTCCAAAAAGATGGGTTATTTTATAAATAACATTCATGAAAATCCATTATTTTATTTTCTTCTCTCCTTTTACATTTTAGAACTTTTATATGGCCATATGATTTTGGGTTACAAGTTCATCACAGATGCGAAGAAGTGTTTTGGCTGTATGATTTTGGAATAAAGCAATTCGAATGTGCATATATAATATATGATTTTGTGTGTGTGTGTGTGTGTTGTGTTTTTGTTTCTACAATTATAAAAAGATGAGTTATTTTATAAATAATTGTGGCCACCTTGTGAGTGTGTGTGTGTGTGAGTGTGTGCGGGTGGCACTAATAGGCTACTACATTAGGCGAGTTATATGTGTACAATCCCACATCACTTGGGTGTAGATGGGGTAAGTGCTATATTTAGATTCAGTACACTTCTATGACACAATGCGTTTTAAAGCCTTAATAGTTGTGAACCTATCGGAACTCTAGAGTTAAGTATGCTTAACCTGGAGTAGTATTAGAATGGGTGACCCCTTGGGAAGTCTTTGGTTTGGGGGAGTCAAAAGCGGATAGTATTGTGTTTGGATAGAGTGAGGGTTGTTAGAAATGACATTATAATTTAATTCAGCCGGAAGTGTGGCCAACCAAAATGTTGGGCCTCAAAGGGAGGTGATTGTGGTAACCATGTGGACGGGTGTGTGTGAGCTTGTGCAGGTGGCACCAGTAGGCTATCACACTGGGTGAGCTATAACTTTCCATCACACCTATTGACAATCTACACATCCTTTATGCTTATAGACATAACCATTCACTCATTACATCTTTCTAGTTCAACTGATCATTCCTTCGGTTATTGGTTAATTGTGTGATGACCGTGTCATCTTTTCCTTTTTCGGGATTTTATTTATTTATTTATTATTATTTTAATTTTTATTTCGCTTCTTATTACCTTAGGATTTTGTAGGACCTGAGGTAGGGTTTAGTGTCCGGACTTGATTTTTGTAATACCCCTAATTTTAAAAGAATAGTCTCGGTATTATATTAAATGTTTTAATTGCATTTTTATTTATTTATTTAATTATTTGACTATTTGATTACGTGTTTAATTGAATTAGTTAATTAAATATTTTATTTGTTTAAATGTTTTATTTGAATTAACTGATTAATTGAAAGTATGTGCTGAATGTTATTTGAATTAGTTAATTTAATGGATGTGTTTGTTTATTTGCAATTAATTATAGATTAAATAATTAA